TACCAAATTCAACCCAACAGTATGGACGGATAGCAAGCGGGAGCCGCAAACATGCGTGCGCGTAATGAAATTGCACCCCGCACTGTGGATGGTTCACACACAAACACACGCACGCGAACACTCTTCTGAACGCAAACCTCACGTATTCTTACCTAGAGCTTCGAGTTGACACCAATCGCGGTGACCATGGGGGGCAGAAGGCCACAGCAATAGACGATTACATTCAAGAACGAGTGACGCGCAGGATGCTCATGGGTCTGCACCTGGTTAGGCTTGCGCTCCAGGTGCAGGCAGCACACGTCAGGGAGCTGCTGGATATCACTCAAGCATCGAGTTCGCAGAACAGCGAACAACAAACCACATATACCATGGAGAAGACAACAACTCTTTGGTAATTGATTACCTATACCAATACCGCTACTCTACAGGCCTTTCCCAGGGTGCTGTCGGACCAGAATTTCGAGGCGAATCCAGCGGTGGCGACGAGGGCCTCCCAAGGGGGCTAAAAAGGGGGAAAACGGGCGAAGGGTGGCGGTGTGGGCACCGCTTCCTCCCCTGAGCAGTATCCCTGCTGTGGGTGCTGCTGGATGCCGCCATGACGCTCAAATGCCGAGTGAACACGCTGGGCTCAGGAGGGCTCTGGTGTTCTTCGGCTACACGCAAGAGTGACCCTAGATAAGAGTGACCTTTGGTGCGCGGCTTTTTGGGGGCCGCGTGGGGACCAAACCTGGGCGCGCAGGCCGTTGCTCCTGCTTCGTTTTCAGCCATCTGGGGACCCATCTGCGCCCGCACCCAAGGTCACTCCAGCGAAAGGTCACTCTTACGTCTAGTCGAGTTCTGGCCGTGCCGCAGAGCTATGCCCGGGAGGCCTATGCTGGTGGCCGAGGCTCGCTGTGGCCGGAGAGCAGCCTTCGTCTCGCGCTCGGCGCTCCTTGCATGGCGAACAAACAACACACACACACACCCATACCCATAGGGGGGTTCGTGGGGAGGGGGACTGGCTGTGGGCATGGGTGCGGGTTGTCGGGCCCTGGGGAGCGCTCCCGCTCGAGCGGGGCCCCCCATCCGACAACATGCACCCAATAGCCCTCTCCGACCCCCTTATGGGTATGGATGTGTGTTGTTGGTTCCTAACTTGCAACACGACGACTGCGTCCTCCCGTGCTGGGCATCCAGGGCTGTGCTTTCCCCCTCCCAAGCCAGCACGAGAGCGCCCCCGCCTCGAAGCAGATCGCGCAGGCCTCGGTGTCCTCCGACCCTCCGGCGGAGGTAGAGGAAGCGTCTCCATCGCTAGCCTCGGACGATGGGGAAAGAAGACAAGAAGGCAGCCCACCACCATCCGCTTGGGGACACCGGGGTCCCCTTATCTCGACATCGCTCGGACGTCCGTTCCCCGTGCGTGATGGTCGGCCTCGTGCGTGTGTGCGTGTGCGTGTGCGTGTGCGTGTGCGTGTGCGTGTGCGTGTGCGTGTGCGTGTGCGTGTGCGTGTGCGTGTGCGTGTTTCTCCGCAAGAGGATCCGAACGGCTCGCCGATGGTCCCCGCCGAAAAAGTGCACACGCCCGAGCGATGCTAAGTCCCTTGCCTCACGCGCGCTCTTGCATGAGACCGTGGCTGTCCTCCTGCAGGCGGCTTTCGGAAGAACGAAATCTTACAAATGGCAAAACAGGACTTCACAATACTCGAACATGGTCAAACAATCGTCCCCAGAACATGGATTGACGATTTGTTTGAAGATTCCTCCTGTAGAGGGACATGCCCGACTTCAGGGCATCTGCTCGGCCCCCCATCTGCGGCCTCCCGCCCCGGGCCGCCCGAGATCCGCTACAAAAAACGCCCCGCCGACCCACGAGCGATCCGCGCGGGCCCCCTCCGAAAGCTTACGTGCTCGTGTGAAGGGGCCCCAGGACACACAAATAAATAAACACAAACAAAAATACGTCCCATATCTTCCCATATGTTCTGGGTGTCTGTCTTCCCCCCCACTTCCCATACTTTCCCATATTTTCCTGGGAATCGAGGATTAATTGTGTCTGTGTGATTTGTTCCCCTCCTCCTCCTCCTCCTCCTCCTCCTCCTCCTCCTCCTCCTCCTCCTCCTCCTCCTCTCGTGCCGGTGCCTGCTCCTCGACCTCGGGCTCTCGAGCTCCTGCTCGGCGGAAGCCTTGGCGGCTCGATCCCGAGGCCACAACCCACAGCGGCACGTCGCGAGAGATCCTGCCCGGGAGCCCTCGCGCGGCTCGATGCCGAGGCCACAACCCCTAGCGAGGCCTGCCTCGGGCACCGCGGGATGCACGTGCTGCCCGAGCCCGTGGCTGCTCTGGCCATCGCTCGGACGTCCATTCCCTGTGCTTTTTTCGGTTTCGTGCGTGGCTTTTTCGCCAAATGATCAAGGATGCTCCTCGATGGTCCTCGCCGAAGGAAAAAGGCGCACGTCCGAGCGGTGCCAAGGGGATGCACCTGCTGCCCGAGCCCGTGGCTGCTGGTCGTGCTGCAGAGGGCCGTCGCCCGCGGCTGCCCGGTGTGGCTCGGTGTTGAAATTGATGCTGCTCGGTGCTGCGTGTTGTTGGCTGCTGCTGTCTGCGTATGTGTGGTGCTGCTGACTGGCGCCTGGGAAGCTACGCGCTTCAATCCTTGGGGCTTCAGTTTTCTCAATATATATATATATATATAACAAGAACAACAATAATAACACTAATAATAATAATAAAAATAATAATAATAATAACAATAATAATAACAATAATATCAATAATAACAAAAATAATAGTAATAATAAGAATAAGAATAATACTAATAATAATACTAATAATGGTAATAATAATACTACAAATAATACAAATAATAAAAACATAAGATAATAATATATGTTTGACTTTATATATTTATATATAAACACAAAAAAACTGCCGCTGTGGGGCAGGCGGCCTCCCGTCTCAAAAGGGCAACGCCCGCGGCGACACCGACAGCGAGTCCTGCTCAAAGAGAACAGGGAATGCCGTCGGTCGCTGCACCCAGTCTTCCCGCACCCCTTTCGAGCTCCCCCCCTGACGTTTCGCCTGCAGGGCGCAGGACGCAGCATAGAAAATGGAGTCATGCAAGCACGAAACCACCTCTGAGCAATAAAAGGAATATGGAAGCACAACTTAAACAGGTAAGAGGTGCTGCGTGCGAGGTCAGGCTACCATCACACGCCAGAGAACCCAACGAATTGAACTAAATCGTAGGGACCCTGCGCCTGAACCATCCGATTGGCCGGCGCCGCACGCCAACCACTCGCGGAAGGCACGCACCGGTTACACGCGCGCGGGACGGCCGACGCACATTGCACCCATCCTTTCCGTACCCATTTCGATCGTCCCGATCTGCAGCGCGAAGCAAGCCCCTACTGCTACCCCAGCTGCCGCCAACGGCGGCAGCCACCATCCGCCTCCCCCTGCCCCTCCGGGACCGGTCCCTGCAGGGGCCAGGCCAATCTGGAGTCCGCATCTCTCCACATCCTCCTCCTCCTCCTCCGCCTCCTCCTCCTCCCCCTCCTCCTCCTCCTCCGTCCTCATCCTTCCACCTCTTCCTCCGTCCTCCTCCGTCCTCCTCCTCCTTCCGCCTCAGGCTCCATCTCCTCACCATCTTCCTCCTTCCTCCTCCCTCGTCATTCCTCCTCCCTCTTCTCTTCTCCCTCCTCCTTGGGGAGGAGTGGTAGCAGGAGGATGAGGGGCAGGGGAGGGAGAGGGAGGTGGGAGAAGAGAGGAGAGAAGAGGGAGGAGAGAGGAGGGAGGAGGGAAAGGGGAAGGGGGCGGGGAGGGAGGGGGAGGAGGTGGAGGGAGAGGGGGAGAAGAGGAAGAGGAGGAGCAGGACCCTCGTCTCGTCCTCGCGCGGCTCCCCCCATCCTCCTCCTCCTCAACCTCCTCCTGTCCTCCTCCTCCTCCTCCTCCTCAACCTACTCCTGTCCTCCTCCTCCTCCTCCTTCTCCTCCTCCTCTTATTCCTCCTCCTCCTCCTCGTCCTCCTCCTTCCCCGCCAACAAATCGCCATGCTCCGCGACCCTGTGCCTTATCCTTTGACAGGGGCCATGCTGAGATGATATTTTCTGACTCGTTCCAACTTGAGCGGATGAACACCGAAGGGAAACACTTCCCCAACATGCTTCTTCATGCCATGCCCTTCTGGATAACTCCTCCCTGCCGCACCCCGACGCCAGTCGGAAGGGCAGGCTGGGCGTTTCGCCTGAGACCTCCTTACCGTTCATGATCCTGAGGCTGAGAAAGTGGCAACAGCTTCCCAGATGCAGGGCGAGGGGGTTCGAAACGTGGCTTTCGCCTGGCATCGCTCGCGTGCGCTCTCACAGCTGCAAGCGCTTCTCAGGGATCGAGGGCGGCTCCTTCTCGAGGCATGGCTCTCGACCCAGCGCCGCGCACAGTCGTCTTAGACGTGCACGAGAGGCTCACGGATTGAGGGCGGTCCCTTTTCAAGATATGGCTCTCACCTTGGCGCCGCGCACATTCGCCTTCACAAGTTGCAAGAGCTTCACGGATTGAGGGCGGGCAGTCTTCAAAACGTGGTGTTTGCACTAGCGCCGCTCACGTTCGTCTTACACATTCGTAAGAATTTCACGGGCTCCAATGGTCATCGTACCAGCAGTCGTGCGTTTGGAGCTATTCTGGACTGCCAAGGCGCAACAGTTACGTTGATTCGCGGTGTTGATGTTCCAGGAACGGCGTTCTGGCATGACTCAGGATCTTCAAGACGCAACAACCATACTGTTTCGTGGCGCTGGAGTCCCCGAGAACGGTGTTTTGGCACGCTTCGGGATCTTCCCAACGGGGCACTTCCACCGGTGGACTGAATCCTTGTAGGGCCCATGAAATGAGAACTTGGAGGAAGGGTTTATATCAACTTCGTTGATGAGTCTTGGGTTCACGCTGGTCCTCCTCCTCCTCCTCCTCCTCCTTCTCCTCCTACTCGTCCTCCTCCTCTCCGACCTCCCGCCGCTCCTCCCGCGCTCCTCCCTCCTCCATCCTCCATCCGCCCTCCCCCTCCTCCTCCTCCTCCGCCTCCTCCTCATGCTCTTCCTCCTGTTCCTCCTCCTGTTCCTCCTCCTCCTCCTCCTCCTCCTCCTCCTCCTCCTCCTCCTCCTCCTCCTCCTCCTCCTCCTCCGCCTCCCCCTCCTCCTCCTCCTCCGCCTCCTCCTCATGCTCTTCCTCCTGTTCCTCCTCCTGTTCCTCCTCCTCCTCCTCCTCCTCCTCCTCCTCCTCCTCCTCCTCCTCCTCCTCCTCCTCCTCCTCCTCATGGTCCTCCTCCTCCACCACCGACGACGACGACGGCGACGACGACAACGGCGCCGACGACGACAACAACAACGACGACGACGACGCCGCCGCCGACGCCGCTTACGCCGCCGTCGGCGGCGGCGGCGCGCCCCCACGGCCCAGAGCCTCTGGAACCAGGCAGTCCTCGCACCTGCCTGGCCGCCGGCCGCGCCGCAGCATGGCCTCCGCCGTGGCGGCAGGGGGCGCTGCCGCCGCGTCGCCGCGGGGACGCCTCTGCTCAGGGCGGGGGGACGGGGGAGGCGAGAGAGGGAGGGAGGGAGAGAGGGAGGGAGGTTTCAGGCTCGAGGTGTTTGAGGCTTTCAAACGTTTGCGTCTGTTCTCGGCGGTTCTCCAGCCGCGGGATGCGTGCCGACAGCTGCGCCTGCCCGAGAGCTTTCCGAAGGTGCCCACGTCGTTCCGAACTGCCGCCAGAGACCCACGCTGTGACCCGAAAACCCGTGGGAGGGGGGGGGGGCAGGGACGGGCGAGAATGGGGGAGGGGGCGGGTGAGGAGGAGGAGGAGGAGGAGGAGGCGGATATGGAGGAGGAGGAGGAGGAGGAGGACGATAAGGATTCAGCGCTCAGCATGTAACGAGTCTCCAGAACGTTGGGAAGAGGTCTCAAAAGAAATAGAGAGGCGACGACGACGACGACGACGACGACGACAAGACGAGACGAGACGACGAAACGACGACGACGACGAAACGACGACAACGACGACGACAAGACGACGACAGGACGACGAGCGGTGAAGCAGGCAGCGCCTCGCGTGCGTTCGCAGCCGTCGGTGCGGCGAAAGCAGAAGCGGAGCAGGGATACCTGCGAGAAGCATGGGACGCACAGAGACATACTAAGACTATGTGTCCTCCTTGGAGGCGCGAGTCCGACCCGAACATATAGTATACCCATCTTGTAGTGTATCGTTTCCCGAGTGGTGTGGCCAGAAAGCGCCCGCCACGACGCATATACTAGAAGATTCTCGGTGCGCGCGTCGCCTCTGGAGGGGCGACGCACACATAGTATAAGTATGTTGGGTTGACGCCGATGCGAGATACAAGAGCGAGTTCGTGCATTCAGCGTCACCCAAAATGCATCGCATGCATCGCGGCTGGCACTGCCGCCACAACTGCTCACCGAACCATCTCATACATCGGTATGGGAATGTGCAAGCACCGTGGATCCATATCCATGGGAGCCCCGTGTTCAATGAGATTATCAAACGCCGGCGGGCACGGGATAGCTACACGCCCAATGGATTGGTCTGTCCGGGGGGGGGGGGCAAAGGTTTACACAACGTGCAAGTCTTCGGCTCGTGATTTCAGCCTTTGCAGGTGTTGGGCATGCCTGTTGCAAGTTGTGCACGCTGGTCGCACTATAGGGTCCACAAGCTCGGCAAAAATGTGTTGCGCGCATGCTCAGAGGACGTGGCCATAGCCCTCAGGGGCTTGACATTCAGCCTGCAAAAAAAGGAATGTATCGTCGCTGGAGGCCCAACGGGCTATACATCTAAACCTCGAAGTTCTCGTGTCCCAGGCCAATTGGTGGCCGATCAGCCGAGGAGGAACCTCAACCACAAGCCCAGGATCAAGGGACCCCACAGTATCCACGGGGTGAGGGAAAGAGGCACACGTCTCAAGTAAGCTCAAGACGTTGGACACTACATAGGTAAGGAACTTGTCAAGCGTAGTTAAAACTATTGGGCTTTGCTTGATGCGCGTCAGGGCATCGTCATCAACAACATGAAGGGCAACTCCACGGTTAGCGCACGTATCTGCCATCGCATTCGTACGAGCACTTCAGACTGACTGTTCCTCGTCAGCTCCTGATCGATGGGCTATTACACTATGTATGTTGATCTATGCATACCCTATGTCCCTGGCATTATCATGGATCGCGCACTCGGAGGGAGGGACCAGGTATCTACCGCCCACTGGCAGTCACAGTCAGAAGTAAGAATGACAGCCTAGATCATATCCAGGGACACGGTGCCTAAGATAAGCCAACAAAGCCAACGTCTCGGCGCCAGGAACGCACTGCACATGGTTCAGAGAGACTCCATAGGCAGCAGTAAGTGGATGCCCCAGCCGATGGACTGAAGCCACTGAGAACCCGCACCTGATAGTTTGGGAAGGGGGCCCATGCAATCCTGAACTGTCTCCAAAGCCAGGGGACGTAAACACCTGGCCCTGTATCCCACCTTCGCCCATTCTGACTCCAGCTCAACGGAGGAATGGGGGGAGGAGACGCTCTGACTCGTGGACGAGGACAGTGTACCACACGGGGTAATGCGGGTGGTCAGTTTCACCCTACGAATGTGATGTGGAAGTCCAAAATCCTGTCGGAATGGATACGTAACAGGACAATCCCAAATCAGGCGACAGGTAGCTTCTGCAAAGCAATGCGAACAACAATGCCGTGAATGTAAATCTCCAGCCAAATCAGCCTTCAGAGCTTGACACTGAGCAGACGTCCAGCTAGAAACTTCCCCTTTCAAGATTGCCCGAAGAGGGCTCAGAAATGGAGCCCCTGACCGGTGCTGCTTCAAAGGACGCCGCGGTGCAGATTCACGCCATGCCCAGAACTACCTCGGCCCTTCTTGCCACAAAGGTCTCGACATCTCTGGCAGCAGTTCTGGAGATATCGATCGTGTAGCCTGCAGGAGATGTCCACTGCGTGGGGGATTGGAGAGACCATCCGAGCCGGATCAGCGTGACGACGATAACAGAGGCAGACCCAGTAGAGCCACACTGGTCGTGCCACTGGGCAGTGTAGGGCAAGCCCAGCTCATGGCTTCGTCCAGCATCGCCTCCAGCACAAGAGGGTCCTAGCTGGAGGGAACCTTTCTGGCCACTAAGAGAGCCCCGGCCATGAAGAGATCCCCTGACCCAGACATAAGGCCCGGCCCGAAAACCAGTCCCCCCCGAGCCCGAAGCCGTCCCCATCACAGCGTTTTGACTGCACCGGGGGTGGCAATGCTCAACTCCACGGAGGAGCGCGGGGGTGGCAGTGCTTTCAAACGACCTGGCGGCAGAGACACGCGGGGTCTAGCTACCTGGGATGGCAATATTCAAGGGCACGGGGTAGGGTTATGTCGGGCAAGTCCTCCCTACAGGGGGATTTTCGACGAAATATAAAAAATACCCCCCAAAAAAGTCGAAGAAAATCCAAAAATAGTCTGGGGACTATTTTTTGAACATGTTTTGACCTTTTTGGTGTATGTTTGGGGTATTTGTCGTCGAAAATTCCCCTGTAGGGGGACAGGCCCGACCTAAGGGTAGCGCGGGGACTGATCCGCGGTGGCGCTGGCGACCGCCTTCGCGCTCGCCCGGCAGGGTCGGCAGGCCCAGCGTCGTGGCCCACATCCTCCCCCTCCTCCTCCCCTTCCTCCTCCTCCTCCTCCTCCTCCTCTCCTCCTCCTCCTCCTCCCTCCTCCTCCTCCTCCTCCTCCTCCTCCTCCCCCCTCCTCCTCCTCCTCCTCCTCTCCTCCTCCTCCTCCTCCTCCTCCTCCTCCTCCTCCTCCTCCTCCTCCTCCTCCTCCTCCTCCTCCTCCTCCGCCTCCTCCTCCTCCTCCTCCTCCTCCTCCTCCTCCTCCTCCTCCTCCTCCTCCTCCTCCTCCTCCTCCTCCTCCTCCTCCTCCTCCTCCTCCTCCTCCTCCTCCTCCTCCTCCTCCTCCTCCTCCTCCTCCTCCTCCTCCTCCTCCTCCTCCTCTCCTCTCCTCCTCCTCCTCCTCCTCCTCCTCCTCCTCCTCTCCTCTCCTCCTCCTCCGCCTCCTCCTCCTCCTCCTCCTCCTCCTCCCTCCTCCTCCTCCTCCTCCTCCTCCTCCTCCTCCTCCTCCTCCTCCTCCTCCTCCTCCTCCTCCTCCTTCCCCCGCGGCTCCTACCCACATCAGGACTCAAAGCGCGCAACCAGCCGGGCCGAAGTGCTGGCAGCCGGTTGGTGTTGACGAGACGGGTCGACCCCGCCCCACGCTGTTGTTGCTTGGCCCGCTTCTACCCTTTCCCCGTTTACAAAGGAAGGAGACGGAGGATGAGGCTTTTTGATGGAGTAAGAGGAGCGGGATCGAGGATCGCCATCCCCCAGCGTTTGTATCAATAGCCCGCATACTTATCAGCATCACCACCATCACCATCGTCATCATCATCATCATCATCATCATCATCAGCATCATCATCATCATCAGCATCATCATCATCATCAGCATCATCATCATCATCATCATCAGCAGCATCATCATCATCATCCTCATCATCATCATCATCATCATCATCATCATCATGACCACCACCACCACCACCACCATCATCATCATCATCATCATCATCATCATCAGCATCATCATCCTCATAATCATCATCATCATCATCATCATCAACAACATCATCGACATCGTCATCATCATCAGCATCATCATCATCATCGTCATCATCACCAGTCGTATCATCATCAGCAGCATCGTCACCATCAGCAGCAACAGCAGCATATGCATCATCGTCCTCAGCAGCATCATCATCATCGTCATCATCATCATCATCATCATAATCAGCGTCATCATCATCATCATCAGCATCAGCATCAGCATCATCACAATTAGTGTAATCATCATCATCATCATCATCATCATCAGCATCATCATCCCGATCATCATTATCCTCATCATCATGATCATCATCAGCATCATCATCGTCATCATCATCAGTATAATCATCATCATCAGCATTATCAGTATCATCATCAGCATCATCAGTATCAGCATCATCATCTCATCCGCATCACCATCAGCGCTAGTAGCAGCAGCAGGCATCAGCAGCAGCATCACCACCACCACCATCATCAGCTTCATCCTCATCATCCTCATCATCAACATCAGCATCATCATTATGATAACTATCATCATCTGCAGCATCAGCATCAGCATCAGCAGTAGTACCATCATAAGCAGCGACATAATCACCGTCTGTACCATGATCAATAGCATCATCATCAGCGACATCATCATCAGTACCATCATCATCGTAATCATCATGATAACCAGCATCATCATCGTATTCATCATCGTATTCATCGTGGTCATCATCGTCGTCATCATCACCACTATCACCATCACCATCTCAATCGCCGTCGCCATCATCAGCATCAGCGTCATCAGCATCATCATCGCCTTCATCATCATCATCATCAGCATCATCATCGGCATCGTCATCGTCAACATCACCATCATCATCATCATCGTCGCCGTCATCATCATCAGCATCAGCATCATCATCATCATCATCATCATCATCATCTTCATCATCATCATGGCCATCATCGTCATCATCGTCATCATGTTCATCATCATCACCACCATCATCACCATCAACACCACCATCAGCATCATTATCATCATCGCCAGCCTTTTCATCGGCATCCTCCTCCTCATCCTCCTCATCCTTAGAAGATCCCGATGACTTTGACAATCAGATCAATGATGGTGGCGATGATGATGCCGATGATGATGAAGGTTATCGTGGCGTTGTTGTTTGCATGATCACACTCACATGAATCGGCATGCAAGTACCACCTTTCTGCATGTAAGCTCGTGGGTGTGTTTGTATACCGACATCCACTGGACTTTGCTGCAGCACCCTATATTGTCGACTGGGAGAAAGCCAACGCTGATGTTGATGGTGATGATCATCATGATCACAACCATGATGGTAGAGGTAGATGATGATGATGATGGTGATGGTGATGGTGATGGTGATGATGATGATGATGATGATGATGATGATGATGATGATGATGTTGTATTGAGACGTGGATTGAGATGATCGCTTGTTTATTGCGCCAGCGCCGTATACTTCTGACGGGACCGACCACCCGTGCCCCTCTGGGGCCGCCTGGAATTTCACCACGCCTTTGGCATAATGCGCATGGCCATCCTAGACAATACCTCAACAGAGCGATCGGCATCTTGAACACAGAACGGTAATAGAAGCAGAACGGGCAGAAGGCAACATACCTTTGGAGAAAGGCGGTCCGACACGACGGCCTGAAGTAGACTGTTAATGCAACAGGAGAGTGCTACACTGAACTCGCTGAAAACCTAGGTACCAAATGGCGCTGGCTCGGCACGTACACTTCATGAAGGCTCCGCGCGCTAGAGCAGCAGCGCCCCAGACAGCGACCTGCAGCCCCTCCTCTTCCTCGCCCTACATGCAGACTGATGACAAAACATGTTAAGAAATCTGGCACATGAAACACTTGGCGCCTCCAACACCGACGTCACTGAAGCGACCGCTGCGGCCTCCACCCGGCGCCTCCTCCCCAGGCAGGCGCTCCTGGAGGGGATCGAGCCCGAACGCGCTCGCCACCGTCGACTCTGCCGAAAATGATGGGCCCATTTTCCGCCACCACTACCATTGAGGATGAGAGGGAGGAGAAGGAGGCGGAGGAGGACCTCCTCATCTTCTCTTCTCCCCCTTCCTACATATGGTAGTGATGGTGGGGAACTTGCCCCTCAGAAGCGTCTTTCAGCAACAGGCGCCCCGGCAAGACGGCGTCGACCCGCGCGGGTCCTGGGCCGGGCCCGCGCTCCAGGTGAGTCGCCGTCAGCTGATGGCGAATGCTGGCGAGGCGATCGCCGGGTGCCGCCCTGATCCGGTAGCGCTCCTCCCCGCCCAGGGTCACGAAGCACACCGAGCCGCCGTCCAGGTGTGCCTGCAGCAGCAGAGTGGGCAGGAGGTCGGCAGCGTGGGTCAGGCCTTCCGCCGGCGCTGGAAGGTCACACTGGCCATAGTGATTCCAACCAAACGCCACAGCGGTGCCATCGCTCTGGAGCAGCACGGTATGCACCGTGCCTGCGGTCACGTGCGCGTAGGCCCGGCCCCCTGCTGGCGCCAGAAGGTCGCACTGGCCATGGCCGTTGTCGCCACACGCCACGGCGGTGCCATCGCTCCGGAGCAGAACAGTGTGCCTCCCTCCAGCGGCCACCTGGGTATACATCTGGCCCTGCGCAAGCGCCGGAAGGTCGCACTGCCCGTGGCGATTCCAGCCACACGCCGCGGCGGTGCCGTCGCTCTGGAGCAGCACCGTGTGCTCCCCCCCTGCGGCCACCTGCGTGTAGGTCTGGCCCCCTGCCGGCGCTGGAAGGCGGCACTGCCCATGGCCATTCCAGCCACATGCCACGGCGATGCCGTCGCTCTGCAGCAGGACGGTGTGCTGCTCCCCTGCGGCCACCTGCATGTAGGCCCGCCCCTTCGCCGGCGCCGGAAGGACGCACTGGCCGAGGCCGTTGTGGCCGCACGCCACCGCGGTGCCATCGCTCTGGAGCAGCACGGTGTGCGCGCCTCCCGCGGCCACCTGTCGGGGCCGCAAAACTGTGCGGTGACGGACCGCGTGGTGACCTCGGAATCCCTTTGACGACCTCACCGAGGCGGCCCGTCACCGTACCCATCGGTCGGAAGAAGTAGGTAGAAACATGAAGTAGGAAGGCGCTGGAAATAGGTTGGGTTTCCGCACGCCTCCTGAAGAGGAAGGAAGAGGGAAAGCCACTCGACTCTTGAAGTAGGAGGGCGCTGAAAGTAGATTGGAGATTGAAATCTGGGAACCCAAAAAAAAAACTACTTTCAACGACCGATGGGTACCGACCTCACCGAGGCGGCCCGTCACCGTACGGCTTTGGGACCTCGGAGGCCCCAATTAGGGAGCACACAAAGGACGTACGCGCCCAGCTATGTACATGAACACGGCCCCTTGACCCGCGAGACCTGCCGCGAGATACGAACATTCGCGCAATGCGCACTCTCGAAACCAGCGTGGATTCATGTACATGTACGTCCTTCTTTCGCTCCTGACCAATGGCCCGAGGCTCCCTCGGAGATCCACGCGAGAGCCTCCGAATATGTTTGGGCTCTGGGCCATATGTCCTCGGCTCTCCGAGGGGGCCGTGCGGGTCCAGCAGGGCCCCCCCCCGGAGCGGCCTCGGCAAGGCGCAGCTGCTGCACACGCCTCCCGAGGCAGGCCAACCCGCGTGAACCGATCTGTAAAAAAAATAGAGATCAGCACATCTGCGCATCGCCTGAATTAATTCTGGACGTTTCTTGTCGAGAATACCCTTGGCTCACCACGCGGCGGGGTCACCACACCGTCTGGGGGGCCCCCGACGCCTGGGTGTAGGTCTGGCCTGCCGCCGGCGCCGGGAGGCCGCACTGGCCGAGGCCGTTGTGGCCGCACGCCACGGCGGCGCCGTCGCTCTGGAGCAGCACGGTGTGCGCCCCGTGTTCCCCCCCTGCGGCCACCTGGGCCAGAAGAAGAAAGAGCGGCATCACCATACCAGGAAGCTGGAACACACACATTGATGGGCGTGTTTCCCACCACCACCACCACCATAAGTTGGATGAGGGAAGGAGGGGGAGGAGGACGAGGAGGAGGAGAACGAAGAGGAGGAGGAGAACGAAGAGGAGGAGGATGAGGAGGAGGAGGAGGAAGCTGGAAACACACATGGCTGGATGCACACGTGGAGCACCTGGAGGCCACAGCGGCCATGCATACAAAAGGGCAACGCGCTGGAAAGACGTCCGGGCACCCGCGTGTGTCCAGCTCTCCCGCCCAGGCCAGCCGCGTGCTGTGCACCCGGCCTCCTCTGGTAAGCTTTCGGAACTCCGCGCGGATGTCTCGTGGGGGAGGAGGAGGAGGAGGAGGAGGAGGAGGAGGAGGAGAAGGAGGAGGAGGAGGAGGAGAGCCGAGGACGAGGACAGGAGGAGGAGCAGGAGGAGGCCGAGGAGGCGAGGAGGAGGAGAGGAGGAGGAGGAGGATGAGGAGAGGAGGAGGAGGAGGAGGAGGAGGAGCGCGCAGCCCCGAAGAGTTCCTGCTTCTGCCGCGGTTTCCTTCTCCGATGGGTGTAGGCCCGCCCCTCGGGCGGCGCAGGGAGGTCGCGCTGGCCGTGGTGGTTCAGGCCGCAGGCCTCGGGCGGCCATCGGTGGGGGGGCGATCAATGGGGGGGGGAAAGAGGGGTAGGAAACGTGCACCCTTCGTGCCCGTTTCTGGGATTGGGGGGGGGGGGGGGGGGGGGGCGATAAGCCGGGGCGGGGAGGGGGAAAGAATCGTGCACCCTTTCGTGCCCCCTGTGGGGCCCGGGGAGGCAGGTCACAAGAGGTGCACCCTTCTCCACCACCCGCATTGATCGCACCCTCTCCCTCCTCCTCCTCCTCCTCCTCCTCCTCCTCCTCCTCCTCCTCCTCCTCCTCCTCCTCCTTCGCCTCCTGCCTCTCCTCCTCCCCTGTCCTCCTCCTCCTCCTCCTTCCACCTCTCCTCCTCCCCCTCCTCCTTCTCCCCCCTCCTCCTCCTCCTCCTCCTCCTCCTCCTCCTCATCCTCCTCCTCCTTCTCCTACTTCCACCACCACCTCCTCCTCCTCCTCCTCCTCCTCCTCCTCCTCATGCTCCTCGTCCGTCCTCGTCCTGCTTCGCCCACTACCCCATGGTTCCTGGCTCGTGGTGGCTGGAGAAATCCATGGTCGCAACCTCCCCACTCCCCGTCCCTCCCATCCTTCTCCTGCTTGTCGACGTCCTCCGTCTCCTCCTGCCCCGTGCACGCACGCACGCCAGAAGCCGCGCCTGGACGGCGCATCGGCAGAAAGTCTACATGACACGAAGGCCAAGGAGAAATGAAGAAGACTGCATCGCGAACGCAAGCGCGCTGGAACACGGACACTGAGCGTAGGTTAATGCCAAGCGAATCCTTATCCTCCTCTCCTCCTACTGCTGGCGAAACGTATGACTCGGGTTCGGGGGACTCGGGTTGGCCTGACGGGGCCATCATGAAAATGACGAGACCCAATCCGAAATTTGACGCGAACTCCCGCTGCGATCATTCCACGAAAATTGGACCGTCACAATCCAGGACGCGCTCGCCAAAAAGCGTCGGCAAACCCGAGTGCTGGCGCACTCGAGTCTAACGTTTCCCCCGATACTGCTGCGTCTTATCCCGAAGGCCAAGCTGAAGAACATTCGAGGGTGCCCTCCCCCAGGATGCACAAGAACACCCAACAAGCTCGAAGAATCTGAGGATACCCTCCCCGAGCCGACCTCGATCTTTATACGCCTCGGTCCGACCGTAAAAAAGGCGGAGCCGCCTCGGAGCCGAGAGTGGCGGCTCGCCTTGGGGCCCAAACCTGGAATGTACGATGGGGGAGGGCGCCTAGGGGTAAAGGGGCCCCAGGACACACAAATAAATACACACATCCTAAAAAAAAATCTCCCATATGTTCTAGGTTTTTGTCTTCCCCCCCACTTCCCATATTTTCCCATATTTTCCTGAAACTCGACGATTAATTGTGTCTGGGTGTTTTTTCTCCTCCTGAAGGGGTGCGTCCGAATAACTAGCCCCCATGGGGGTGTACATCCCAGAGTCCCCCCCGTTTCCTGAGCGGCCAAATGCTTCGGGCGGACCTCGGGGCGTGGGGGGAGAGAATTCGCCTGCGACCATCGTCCTAAGACGAAGCCCGGACGAGGATAACGTCGGAGAAGGATAAGTCGAGAATCCCTGAGATCCGGCGGCTCTGGAGGATGTCTCGGGCGCCGCGGCCCTCTCAGAGCGTTCGGGAACGCTGCGATAGCGTTCCAGAACGCTCTGGAACGGATGTATCCTCGTCATAGCCTTAGGTCGGGCATGTCCTCCTACATGCGGATCTTGGAAGGATAATTCAAACCGTTGTTTGAACATGTATATATATATATAGAGAGACATATACAAACATATATATTTTTAAATACACATATCCATATACATATATAGAAGCATCGTGCCCAGACTATGGTTAAACTATTTGTGGATATCCCCCCTGCAGAAGGGACATACCCCACTTCACCCTTGCCCTCGCCGACCTCCTCTCCTCCTGCTGTCGGGGATGGACAGACCACCCGTCAGTAAAACGTGGTTTCGTGAAAACGACCTGAGGCCCAAACCTGGCGGGCGCACGCCTGGAAAATAGCGGCCACGGCGCCCTCTCGAGAGCCGACAACGGACAATTCACTAATCGACGTGTCACTGTTGGGGGTTCTGTCCATTCCCGATGCTGCCGCGTCTATATATATACATTTATATATACATATATATATATATACACATTTTATTTATATATATATATATATATACACATATACATATACATATATATAGAAGCAACGTGCCCAGACTATGGTTGAAATATTTGTGAAGATTCCCCCTGCAGAAGGGACACGCCCGACTTCCTCCTCGCCCCTGCCGACCTCCTCTCCTCCTGCTGCTGCGCTTTGTGGGCCCCGGAAACGGCAGGGCCGTTTTTTCACTGTTTCAAAAACAACGTCCGTTGAAAATGGAAATGGCAAAAAACGGCGACCGGAAACGGCAAAAAAACGGCTCCAGGATCGGAACTGGAGCCGGAACCGGTCAAAGAACGGCGACGGAACCGGTAAAAAAACGGCGTCGGAACCGGCAAAGAAACGGCAAAACGGAACCGGTAAAAAAACGGCCCTGTCGTTTCCAGGGCCCACTAAGCTGCTGCGTCTCGCCCCCGTTGCGCCGCGCCCCGCGGGCCACGGCGGTGCCGTCGCTCCGGAGCAGCACGGTGTGCGCGCCGCCGGCCGCGACCATCTCTCTCCGCGTGCGGGCCGGCTGCGTGGCCGTGCCCACTGCGCCGCGGAGTCTCGGGCTCCCGTCCCCTCCTCCTCCTCCTCCTCCTCCTCCTCCTCCTCCTTCTCCTTCTTCTTCTTCTTCTTAGTATTATTATTCTTCTTCTTATTAGTATAAATATTATTATTATTCTTCTTCTTATTATTATTATTCTTATTATTATTATTATTCTTGTTCTTATTCTTATTATTATTCTTATTCGTCTTCTTATTATTCTTATTCTTCTTATTATTATTATTATTCTTCTTCTTCTTCTTCTTCGTCTTCTTCTTCTTCTTCTTCTTCTTCTTCTTCTTCTTCTTCTTATTCTTCTTCTTCTTCTTCTTCTTATTCTTCTTCTTCTTCTTCTTCTTCTTCTTATTCTTCTTCTTCTTCTTCTTCTTCTTCTTCTTCTTCTTCTTCTTCTTCTTCTTCTTCTTCTTCTTCTTCTTCTTCTTCTTCTTCTTCTTCTTCTTCTTCTTCTTCTTCTTCTTCTTCTTCTTCTTCTTCATCTTCTTCTTCTTCTTCTTCTTCTTCTTCTTCTTCTACTTCTTCTTCTTCTTCTTCT